ATGATCCACCACTCCAGTGGCTAGGAGCTTTGAAGTTGCAAGGGCTCCTGTACTCCACTGGAAGAAGAGGGGAAAGAAATGCATTGGAAAGTCCAGGAGAAAGTATAATGAATGATCATGAAACCATATTTTGAAAAGCATACAGTTACCAATTTTGGCAATCTTAGGAATGATTGAGATGAGAAACAATCTCTTTCTGCTTTACTCATGTTAGTCCATGAGGGTATGGTCCAGTACAAATATATTTATGACACATTATACTGCAAGGAAGAAATTGCAAGAGGACTTGTGGAACACCCTATCTCAACAGTGAGTGTGATAAATCCTACAGTGTGGATTTTGGATAACAGTACACCTGGACAGACACCACTCACCACAGAGTGGGATCCATAACATGTGAAGTAGGCCCCTGAAGAAAAAATGAAACAAAATTAACATACCCACTCAGAGTTGTACAGACACATGGAAAATGGCTACAGGGGAAAAATGGTGCAAGTAGTATGACAAAGGTGTGTGGAGTGGTCTACATGTTGACCTGGATAACTTCCTCTAACTAAGGACATTGGGAGAAAATACAAAACAAGTGGCAAGATTCAGAAGAAAAAGAATGAGAGCAAAGAAGGGTGCTGTGCATAACACGTAACACTGTAAAGCATGGATCAGACACAGGAGACAGTCTAGATCAGAGTGAAAGGAAAATTGGGATATGGAAGGAAGATAAAAAGGGGTGAAGGCAAAATCTCCTTAGAAGGCACAAGAAGTTTTAGGAAGGAAGGAATGGTCACGGTATAAAAGGAAAATAGGTCTTGTGGTACAAAATGCTGTGAATATTGATAACTGGTAATGTCTGCAAGCCAAAAGGAGAAGGAAATACATTTTCAAGGAAAGGTGACAAAAAGAACATGAGGCTAGTGGTTTTAAGGAGGGAGAGGAAAGGACATGGAGAACAACATTTAGATTCCAGTCCGGCAATTGAGTTGTATGAGGAGGACAATGGAGACACACAGATTAAAATAAAAGGAAAATTACTGGAGGGGAAAACACATGGCTAAAATGGGAATAATGAAAGGTAGATGACGGGGGCCACCTTAAAACCTGCAATATTTGAAACGGACAGACCCATGTCAAACAACAGGTGAGGAAGGGGAGAATTCATGCTGGATAGACTATTGACGGTATATTCTGTGCTCACGTTGATACACAGACATGGATGAGAAACAGAGTGAGAGAACAGGGACATTACACTTGTGGACAGTCTCGAAGTCTTCACAAGAGACCAGACAAAACCACACATGAAGCTGGAGTGTGGGAACAGAGGGATGAAGCACCCTTGAGTGAGTTTGCCAGAGGAGTGACTGGTAGGGAGAAGTAATGGAGGTAGTTCTTGAAGAAACCAATCTGTGGGTAGAACCTTGTCGAGACAGGACAGATGAACCACAACAAAATTGAGAGCACCCAGTGTGTGACAAGCCAGCAAACAAATTTGGTGGCTGTGAGTCCAGAAGAGGAGCTTCAAAGTGCTGGTACATAAGAAACAAGATCGATTGCCCCTTTTACAGATGATGTAAGAGACAACCGTTGAGGTGTAAGAATGAATCATAACTGTCAGTTCCTGCAGAGACAACAGAACTTGAATCATCACCCAACGAACAGCAAGTAGTTCCAAAAGGTTGATGCAGATACCTAACTCCTGACACTGACAGACTGAGATCTCCTGTGTATTGCAGCATGCACTTCACTTTGACAATGAGTCATTTGTGAAGATGTGGATGTTTGGACAGGGAAGAGAAATAGGGACCTCCACTGTTGTGTTGTCCCTGTCTAACCACCAAGAGAAGTCAGACAGAAGGGAAGCAGAAAGGGATATCTGTAAATCCAAAGGGTCCATGATGAGGTGTCATTAATCTTGTAGTACCCATTGCAAGGAACACATGTGGTCATGGCAAAGAAGGATAAGAGCCTCTAGTGATGCTCAAATCCCCAAAAGAGACAGAACCTCTCATGCAGGGAGAGAAGGTCCTGATAGTGCCCTCTGAACTAAAAACTCCATGGATTGCAGATGAAGAGAAGAAGGGGCTGTGTCTGACTGAGATGTGAGTTGAAAAAAAACACCTTTAGAAGAACAAAATATTGGGTGGAGTGAACAATGGACTTCTCCATCTAGATAACCAAACCCACCCAAGCAGCTTCTCAAATGAGAAGTTGGGTGAATGTGGAAGACTCTGCAAAGGATGGAGTTAGAAGAAGCCAAACATCCATAAAAAGATGGAGAGAGAGCTCTCAAAAATGTAGAAATCAGGTAAATGAGCACACCACTTAACAGAAAGAGCTCAGAATTGATAAATGTGATCCTTGTAGACAAAATGCAGATAATGACGTGAAGCCCATGCACTAGGGATGTGAAGATAAGCATTGAACACACAGAATCTTGTCCACCAAAGCTCTGGAAGAAAGGCCCATCTGAGAGACAGGTAGGATTTCATGGTGAACTAAGGCACGTCGAGGAAGTGATTCAGACAGAAGACATCAAAAACAGGATGCCAATATCCAGTCTTCTTGGGAACGACAAAATTGGGATTATAATCCTGGAAGCATAGGCCTTGAACTGCTTCTGTGAGATGCTGGCAGGAAACAGGATAATGAGGGGGAAAGGAACTGAGACAGGGGATAAGGTGGGAGGGAGAGGGTTTTCTGAACAGTGATATGCAAAGGCATGAGCCTCTGCAGTATTGATCAGTAAAACTCGATAATGGATTATAAACAATACTTTGAATATGTTCAAAATGCACTAGAGAAAAAAAATGTTTAAAATCCAGCACTAGGTCTTAAAACTGTCATGATAAATCAAAAAGTGAAGATTGTGTTCAAATGCATAGAGGGAGTTAGCTATAATAGGAGGGTTTGTCACACTCCTATCGGTGGAGGAGTGATAATTTACATGCTTAAATGCAACTGAACCACATGGTATACACATGAAATTACATGGGAGTTTCAAGGCTAGTGGTTAACACAAAAATTTGTGCACTAAAGGGCAGTCAAATCAAAAATAGCTGTAACTGTGAAAAGAAGTAATTGTATTGTAAAATAGCATTATAAAATGAGCTTATATTGCATTGTTAATTTTAAATTATTAAACCACAATTAAACTTCAGTTACTATATTATAGCTAAATTTTATTTATACCTTGTATATACTAGGTATTTCATTATTTTCTCAGATCCTTCTTGACATATGTATTGTCTATATTAATTAAGAATACTATTACTTTTATAACAATTGTATCCTTCCAACAATATCAACATTTGTCTCATAATACATTATATTCTTAAACTTTCAGAACTGTACATTTGTGTTGTTCATTAAGCCTTAAATAACTCCTAAAGCAGGTTGAAAGCTAGTTCCAAAAGAAAAAAAAAGTTTAAACAGAAATATCCACTTAGAAAAGAGAAAGCAAAAATCATACTGACACTTAATTCAATTTATTTCATTACATATACTTGAATGTATAAAAAAATGTTTGAAACACAAATCACTCCATTCTTTTTTCAATCATAACAAGTGTTGAGATAATGACTTTTATTCTTTTTTGACAATGATATATCAAAAGCACTTATGAAACATAATTCCAACGTTTTTCTATGATGATGTTTTGTCTCCTGATAAGATATTGCAAATAAAATATAACTACATAGCAAATAAAGTTCTTAAATTACATTACAAACTTGTAGTATTCCATTAATATACTGTTCCTACTCTGTTTCATTAATTTTTCAAAATGATCGTATTCAGGGTTGAGTATCTTGTACTAAAACCATTTTTAATATGCATATCAGCAATTCACAAGATAACTATAGCAGATATAAATTTGTGGTGAAACATCACTGTTACATTTTTTTTAGCATTTCCTAGGTAATGTAATGCCACAAAAATTTAGGGATGGTGTGTGTACAATATTCATAAAGATTGTTCAGACCAGATTTAGTATAAGATATCGCTTGTACCTAATGGCACTAGAAAACAAAGGAACATTAATTAACTTCTGGAAACAGGACCATACAGAAAAAGAACCTTCAATAAGTCGTACCCAACCTTGTTAAGCAAAGCAGCATCTTATAACAGGAGAGAATCCAGGAACACTTTCTGTTTGGAAAAGTGACAAATGTTGTTTCCATGACATACCCATTCAACTATCACATACCTCAAAGAGCTGAAGAATAAAAAAAGGTATTCATGTTATTCCATATGAAAACGTACCAGTCAAGCTGTCAGACGCAGTGCCTATGGATTTTTACATGTTCAGACTGTTGAAACAGGTGCTAGGAAATTGTTCCCTTCATACATTAGATCGATTACAGAAAGCCAGCAGAAATGAGTGGTGGGCTTTGGACATAACAAACTTATAATGTAACATTTTGTAATGGAAACTAATCTATGAAGTTCTTGTCAAGGAGCATGGTAGTCATATAGAGCATGACAGAACATGGCAACACGGACAGTAACAACATGGTGAGACTCCAAGATAATTTTAATACAACACACTCAACCTCTATTTTTTTCACAAATAATACTTGGTATAATGGAATTACAAACTGAGCTTATTTTTTAAAAATTCTCAAAATTTTAAAATAATTTCTGTAAAGACTCTAACAGCTTCTCAAAAACCACACTTTTCTATGAAACAATTAGCAACTGATCAAAATTGTTCTCTAGGTTCTTCTGATGAGGTATTTAAACTTAACCTATTAACTAAAATATCCTGGTGAATATCCATACTAATGTACAAACCACAACCTAAAGATACACGTGTTTCTTCACTTTTGGGTATTCTACAAGACTTCATACAATAATGATTATCAATTTCTTGTCCATTAAACCTATATATTAAATAGTTAGTGGTAGGAAGGTATATCAGTTTTACACTTCCTGCACATATTTCTTTACATTTCATAAGTTATTGCAGTATCACCAACTGTATTAAGAATTTATAATGGAAATCTCATCAGAAGACAAAAAACGTGTTTTCTGTTTTATCTTCTAACATTTGGATATAATGATAGCAACTTTCCTCAGAGATATCTAAAGAGAGGCAAACTGAATTTAGCAAATTACTTACAGCTGTATAGCTTTTTCTAGATTTCCACTTTCAAATCTTGATTCAAAAACAAGAGTGACATCATCAGAATTCTGTGGAGTGACTGCTATTTCATCTTGACTACTTGGATGCCCAAGTTTTGACTGTAAAAACTGTTAACAGTATTTAATGTCATACTTAGCTATTTAATTCAAAGATGTATTTCAGAACATATTCCACTCAGTGATGAAAACATCACCTTCTCAAACATACATTATTTTTATACATGCCATCAAATGTTTATACACAATATTCAAACATGACACCACTAACACAAAATGTATACTTTAACACCAGGGGTACTACTACTACTACTTACCTGTAGCACATTTTTTTCTACTGGCAAATTATTGAACTTCACATGTACTAATAAACACTTGCTATATCACTGAAAACGTTTGAAAAACTTTCTAACGACAAGATAACTACTCTCAATACTTTTGTAAACAGTCAGGTTTTTTCACATGATTTTTATAAAATTTTACAAGTGTACTACATTCAAGTTTGAAACAAATTGTAAATTAATTGCATACTAAAAGTTGTGTAACTGGAAATTGCAGCAATAACATGCTTATTATACAAGTGAACTAGCAGATGCTCATTGAAAGAATTAAACAGCAATTTTCCTAAAAGATAGTGATAAATAAATAAAAATGTGCAGTGAACCCACTATCTTTGATTATGGAGTATATGCTATATAATTGTTTATGACCATCTTTTGTCATTTCATGTGTTATTTCAATAAAGAAATTTGAATTGCACTTGTTTTTAAGTAAAGATGACTAAGTACAATGTATTGTTGGTAAAAATGTTTGGGTTTCGATCCAATGGGTGCTTCCAGGACAACAGAGTGCTCAGATTCTCTAAGGGATTTTTTTCAGCTAGATGTTACCAACCTTTGTCATTTTAGTGAGTGCAAGAAAAAACATGATTGCTTTTTGAAAGTTATGATTTCTATAAGAAGTGTCAAAGGGGAGATAGTAAATTAAATTTATTCAACCTGGTAAAATAAAATTATGCATATATACAATACCGATAGGACAAAAAAATACAAAAATACAAATAAATCAAACAACAACAAATATACACTGAAACATGTTCATCTCATTGTATATTTTTCCATTTATGCTCCTTTCTTCAAAATATTTATTTCAATCAGTCAATGGAGGAATCCTGTTGTTTTCCTGAAATTCCCTCACAAAAAGAAACATTTTTTTTAGAGTGAGTGTTTGTTGCAAAATGTTTCAGGTTGAGCTTTGGTCATTAACTGTTTCAAAGAGGACACTGGTCACAAAATATACTAGAGTGAGCATTGGTCACTAAATATGTCGAAGTGAACTTTGTTCACTAAAATTTTCAGGGTTGACTTTGGTCACTAAACATTTCAGAATGGGTAAATGTTACAAGATGAACTTTGGTCACTAGATCTTTCTGAGTGGACATTAAACATTTCAGAAATGACATTCATCATTAACTATTCCACAGTGGACATTGACCATTGAATGTTTCAGGGCAGGCTTTGGTCACTAAATGTTTCAGAGAAATGCAAACTTTGATCAGTAAATGTTTCATTAAAGTCTACTTTCAGTATGTAGACTAACAACAATATCAGGACATACTTTTTTTGCTAAGCAGCATAATATAAAAGTCATTGTTGGAATGTAGCATTACAAAAATAGAGACACTCACTACCTGTGTCACTAAATGTTTAAGAAAGGACACTGGCCATTAAATGTTTCAGAGTGAACAGTGGCCACTAAATGTTTCAGTGTGAACTTTAGTCACTAAATGTTTCAGAGAGGACATTAGATATTGAACATTTCATTGTGGACATTGGTCACTAAAAGGAGAATGAAAGAATAGTGCAGAGAGACTGAAAAGTGAAAGTTAGCATTTTGTAATTTTTTCAATGTTGGTTAAAGCTCTGCTTGAAAAGAATTCAAATATAAGGATTCCAAACAGAGAAAGCTCATAAAGAAATCACACAATATATTTGTACATTAAAAAGCACGCAAAACTACAAGTAAAACACACACCAAACCCTCACCAGCTTCATTTCTCATTTTAGCTTAGTAGCAACAGACATGCATTCTATATCTTAATGTTTTGGAATATCAGAATAAACTAAGATTCCTTATAAGTTACTGCACTATATCAATGCAATAGCAAAAATAATTTCAGGCAAAGGTATTTCAAGGGGAGTGTTTTTGTTTCAGAATTTCAAAAAAAAACACTTTAATGCAAAAAAAAATTTATGCATTAAGTGTGATTGCAGAAGATATTAATAACAACAGTACACTGTTCATGTGAATACCATAATATACTTGTATAAATAAATATCTAAAATACAAAATAACTCAAGTATCCTTTTTGTAATAAACTGTTAATGGGCAGTGTCATCAACTAAGAATTAAAAAAATATTTTCTTTTAAGTGCTTTATTTACCTTTTTATAAACTGCTAATGTCTATACACAACTAATTAGATGTTGACTACTAATATTGACTGTATTGATGATTATAGTAACTTAAAAGAGGAAATAGCCAACAAAACTGAAAAATGACACTACATCAGAAGTTCTGAATTTTCCAAAACACGCATTTTTTAAGGATTCTACGTACTTTAACTAAAAATCTATTTCAGTAAATATTTAAGAAATTCTACTATGAATTATGAAAGTTATGACTAGACCAATAATGACAATATAGAGAACATTAATGATAGCCAACATCTCCTGTTAGAAATATTCTAAACTTTTACTTAAGCACCATAAATCAAAAAATTTACAAGTTTCTTTGTGTTTTCAACTAAATTATTTTATTTGAGTTTTTCATTGAATTTTTCATAATCTATAAATAAGTCATTTTTTAAACACTTTAAGTTTTTGAAAGCCATTTTCTTTCTATTGATATGCTACATACAAAAGAATCTTTAATTATCATCATATTTTCTATATACTTATATACTGACATTTTTTTGATAATTTATTTTCAAATAATTATAAACCCTCTTCTGACATATGTCAACAATAACAAAGAAGTAGATCATCAAGAATACTCAGTAAGGCATGTAAGTGTGTCAATGCGATTCTGGCCCTACTTTGAGGTGTAGGTTCAAGAGGTGAAAAAGAAACTGCTGTAAACAATACCGAAGAGCAGTAAAAATTTTGTCCCAATGAGAAGTTGATGGAAATCAGGAAAGAGAAACATTTTTGCCACCATAAGCTGCAACAATTATAAAGGCACAAGACCTGGGTCAGTGACTATCAGTTTATTTTTACTAGAATGCACAAGTGTTATGTTGTCAAGGCAAGGGTTAACCCTCTAGATTCAGGTAGGTCAAAGTGTGCATGTCATGACTTTTTTTATAAAGTTACATTCAAAATTAAATTAAACTACTTTAATATTATTACATATCAATAAACTATCAAAATGTAGTTAATAAATTAAACTTTAATACAATTTGAGTTCTAATTCCATAAAATGAAAAGGAAATATTTAAATAAATTTCCAATTTTCATTTGTCCATATCATGTGACACTTGTTTGTAATTCAATACCATGTCTTGAGCTATGTTTTTATCATGTGCAGTAGAACTTTAACCATGGGAATAGATGTTAGGCAAGGTTCAACGAGCAATAAAATAACAAAATTAAATAAAAATAGATGTAAAATGTTACAAGCCTTAAGCTGTTAAGGATAAATAATTTTGATATTATCTTACAATCTGCAAGCATTCTAGGAAGAAAAAAGGTAATTTAGGATTATTCCATAATTTTTTTTGGTGGTTCCAGAGCCAGTCAAATGTACCTAGTCTGTATAATATTATGGTACAGAAAATAACAGATAAAATATAAAGTTTTAAAGAAAAAAAAACATTTGATATTCATTTTGAAGGTTCTAGAGATTATACAAATAAAATTTGAAAAATTGTAAAATGAAAAAAATAAATCTAATCTTAACTAGAAAATCACCTTGCACTCACTGTCCAAATTGTTTTTAAACACAGATCTTGAACCTACACCATTATGTGTCACTAATGTCACCAACATTATGGCAGCCAATGAGAGTGATTGTTCTGGATAGTTTACTTCTTTAACAATACTAAGGGTAAACATCTGGGAAGAAGGATTAAATTACACTTGAAGCATCACATTTGCTGAACTCACAATTTATCACTGGTCAGTACAAAGTTCCACTACAGATAATTCTGAGTGACTTATTGTCCATGTTTATCCATTCTCAATGAAAGAAAGAATTCTGAATTAATGCTACATTAATATCTATTGAATGTCAAAACTTTGAGTTAAGTATTATAAACTTAACTACATACATGCTGAATGATGCATAAACATTCTAAGTATTACATTGTATCATTCTATTGCTCTACCATGATCTTAGTAGCGAAAGAAGCTGGAAAAGGTTTTAATTACTAGGAGACATGCAAAGGAAAGGGAAGGAAGGACAACTCACATAGCTTCCAGTTAAGGGTTTGTAGTAATAAACTACCTGCCCTTTTGCTTCACCAACTACAAAAGGCTGAGGTTCCAAGCCAGCTGAGAGCAGGGAAAGAGAGCATGAAAAGTTTATACATATAAACTAAACCTAAAACATCAACAGCAAAATAATATTATGGATTGTTTGATCAATCTTTTAATACACAATAATTAAACCCACAGAAAAAATATGCATCATTATGAATCCTTCACATTTATTGGTAAATAAAGTTCAAACAATATGTTAAAAATTCAACACAAAATGATTTTCAAGTCAAAAAGTTTTGTTTTATATTTTTTAATATCAAAAGTCACACATAAACATCTTATAACTTACTACTGATCTCTGATAAACACCAAACATCATTTTAATGTTTTCCTCCTAACTTCAATCTTTTTCAACACAAACATTTATAACTTTTAGCTTCAAGGATAAATATATTTTTCCTAATGTTATGCAGAAAGGCAGGATTTAAAAAAAAATTGCCAAAACTGAGTGCAATTTTAGTATGTGATAACTATAATAGGAAAAAGGCATTTCTATACATATTAGACATAGAAATAATTTTATCAGAATGAAACAACATTACATTGCATTTTTAATGATATAATTAAAATATTCATTGATACACTTTACTATTAAAATAAAAACTTAATGACCTTACTTAAACTTATAGTGGCAGTACTAAAGTTGACTGAATTGCAAACTACAAAACAAAATCACAACTGTATCTTATATTTTAGATGTTTCTCATATTACCCCAAATAAACAAATACTTTTGCTTTAGAGGTCTACAGATTAATTTTTAACTTTTTTTAGATGTATTTTTTGTCAGATTGCAATCATATTTTTTCTAAAATCTAAACTGCTCATGCAACAAAGTATATATAACAGTTTCTTAATGTATTAAGATAGCCTATGCAGACTGTATACAGAACTTTTAAAAATAAATTTCCTGATTTTTTACATTATATATATATATAAAGGAAATTATGCACAGAACAACCACATTAACTACTTTAAATGAATTACTGAGGTTATATACTAGACATAGTAGCTAGCCAATACATTTCTATTAGTGACTACTGGCCAAAAAAAAAAAAAAAAAAAAAAAACAAAAAATTTCCATGACTTTTTCCCGACTTTAGGCATTTTTCCCTTATTGTATAGACCCTGATATAATCATCATTATAAACATGTTCTTTGACAAGAGTATAAAGCAATTTAGTAACCAAACTATTTTAACAATATCCTACTTTTTTAATAATTTAATAGTTTTGTTTTTCACTTAAAAGCAATGTTAAAAAAAAGTTATAATAATCTAAATCACTTACTGGAAACATAGTATGGTTCTCTTTCATTGAAAGAATTAGGAATATGTCTAATTCTTTCTTCTATGACTTGCATTTCTGCTGGCCTGCACAAAAGAAGGGTAAAAATGTAGATTAATGGTTGGAATATATCATTTGAAATAGTTGTCAGACCTTTATATACTTCTTCCTGGGTAATGATAAACAATATATTAACTAGTAATCTTTCAATAATTTGGACTGCACTTTTCAAATATGGCTTATAATAAATGCTTGGGAGGTATAAATAAGCAGAATTTTAACTCTTTTAGTCACTCCTATGTACTTTCTGTGTCATGTTACTATCAACTGCTCCACTACTTATTAAGGAGATTGAATTTCTTTTTCAACCATCAAGTTTTGTTCTTTTACAAATCTATATACTACTAAAACTATGAAATTGTTTGTTTGTTTGTGTGCTTGTCTGTAATTAAATAAAGCAAAAATGGCACAAAATATCGCCATATTTGTAATTAAATGAGAATAGAAACAGGATAAAACAAGTTTCGTTAAAATCGGGCCACGGATTACAGAGTTAGTGCCATTTTTCGGGTCACTTTTCGTACATTCCATTATTATAAAACTTTGTTTCCCACCTGATGAATCACTTTAAAATATCTTCTATACAACAATATATGTACAACAGAAATTAAATGATGAGATGAAAATGTGTTATAATGGTGTGTAGAAAGAATAACAATAAAATGGACCTACAATATTATTTACTATTTGCAAATAGTAACTATGGAGATGAGGTAATAAAATAAAAATACAAGTTGAGAAG